ACCGTGTAAGCTAAGAGACAATGAACAGTCACCAACTTGGCTACAGGTCAAATGTATCATGGAAATCGAGACCTTCGATTTGGGTGTACCCTTTTGCCGCCAGGCGAGCCTTGTACGGTTCAATGGTACTATATGGATAGTACTTGATCTTATAACCCACTTGCAAGCAATAGCACGCTTCAATGGATGAAGAAAAACAAGGCTCCAAGTGGCATTTTTCTCCAAGGCAGCAATTTCGCGTGCCATCGCCTCGCGCCAGCATGTCTCACGAATTGCCTGGTAGAAATAACGAGGTTCGTCAAGACGGGTTTGGGCTGCAAGAAAAGCAAGGTAAGTGTGCTTAAAATGATCATAATTAACATAATTTGCAAGGGGGTACTGAACATGATGAGAGGTACTTCCCTGTGCATTGTCGGATGGGAAGATAGTCCCGAAGCCATCAAAGTGCTTGGGGCGCCGCCGATTTTTATCACAGAGCTGGAATTCAGGGATAGGGGCTGGATCAGAGTCAATAGCCACCGATTGCCGAGGTGAGGGAGGCTTGTCAGCGGAGCTACTCATGGGCCCAGAATCTGAACTGGGTCAGTTCGGCCCAGAGTTGAGTGAAGGAGGACCAACGTTGGATGGGTCCACCATAAGGGAAGGGGTCTTCGGTGATGTTGGGCCTGGCCCAGATGGTTGTGTCCCCGTTGGGTGAACTGGAAGTGCAGTCTCATACAAAGGAGAGGCTTCTAAAGTGTCCTCAATTGGCTAAACAATGGGACGAGGCACCTTATGAAGTTGGCGCTCAGTCCCGTCTTGAAATGGAAAAATGGTCTCGCGGAAATTTACATCACGAGAAGTCAACAATTGATGTGTGGATAATTCGAAGATACGATAACCTCTTTGGCTGGCCGCATAGCCAAGGAAGACCCTGGCACGACCTCGTTCACCAAACTTGTCAAGATGGGCATGTGTGTCCTTATAATACACCAGGCAACAAAACACACTCAGATGCTGATAGGTAGTCGGCTTTTCAATCAAAAGCTCATATGGTGTCTTGCCAGTAGCCTTTGTCGGAAGACGATTTATGAGGTAGACTGTTGTGAGGATGCACTCTCCCCAAAATTTCACCGGAAGACTTGCTTGAAAACGCAAAGCGCGAGCAGTGTCAAGAATGTGACAGTGCTTTCTTTCAACGACACCATTTTGCTGTGGAGTATCTGTACAGGATGTCTCTAGCAGAATCCCCATGTGAGCATAATAATCGCTGAGAACGTCGGTGTTGAATTCTCTGCCATTATCTGCCTGAATCCGCCGGACAGATTTGTGGAACTGAGTGCGCAACATGTTGCAAAATCGCATCAAACACTTCCCAACATCTTATTTATATAGTAAGAGATATACCCACACACCACGAGAAAATCATCAACAATTGTGAGAAACTAATAAGCTCCACTAAGCGATGCAGTCTTGTATCCTCCCCAAATGTCAACCTGGATATGTTCAAAACAAGCCGATGTTTAATCATGCTAGACTGAAAAAGATCACGAGTTTATTTGTCCCATGAACAAGAATGACAAAAATCACTACTTGTGATGCATTGGGCTCACGGCTTTATCCCTCACTGTAGCCTTTATTTCGACGTCGGTCACGATCCCTCGGAGGCCTATCGCCTTGTCTCTCGCGTGGTGGGTAACCATCAAGATCCAAACAATTCTCACGCAGATGACCTTGGGGTTGACAATGGGTGCAACATGACTGCTCCCATTGCTCCCCCGTGCTGCGAGGATTTGTGTCCACACCGGTCCGAACGCATCGTCGAGGGCCATCAGAAAATCGAATAGGCGAGCACTTTCCTGTTGTTCGCGTACTCGACGGGAAACTCCACACGTGCACAAACCTCATGTGCAGATTGATAGGGGCGAGATGGCCGATGCTTCTTCCCAGTGTGAACGAAGCTTGGTATAGAAGCTAAATACCGACTTCTTTTCCTGCTGTAGGAGACTGATGAGCCGTCGCAGTTCAAAGGCTCTGGATGAACTACCCTGGCCAAATCGCTCGCGGAGATCAGTCCAAATCGCGACTGCATCTTTAGCAAACCTGATGTTGCTGCGAATTTCTCTGTCCATGGAGGTTTTTAACCACCCTTTCACCATCGTTTCGCATCGTAGCCACGCGTTCTTCTCGACGTGGTCGTTAGGTTTTGGGAGACTTCCGTCAACAAAGCAATATTTATTTTTGGCAATTAGGGCGTCCTTCATGTCGATGACCCAGTCTCCATAGTTGGAGGCCGTCAGGATCTTGCCGACTAGCATGTTTTTAGGGTTGTCGAAATTGTGGAGTTGGAGAACGGACGGAAGACCATCGTCCGAGCTGCCTGACGAAGAAGAATTGACGCCCTTGTTCTTGTCATCTTTCGCGTCGCCCATGATCGCTGATTGACAACAAAACACTGGAACTTAAGGCTCTGATACCATGTAGAATTTGACGTAACTAAAATGAACGCTTGTTTAACGTGGTTCTTCCTCACAATGTGTGAGGCTTACGTCCACAGAGAATGATCGGGATTTTATTTCGTGGTTTGGGCAAAATTAAAGGCCTTACACGTATATTTATACCCTAGGATACATACATCAATTAGGGCACAAAGAGGTTTCTCAATACGTGAGGGAGAAGGTTTCCCGTTAACAGTAGGCGAGCGAGTTGCATGGTGCGCATAGGCCGCATATGCCTGGCCCAATAGACTGCATTATGAAATTTTACCATAGTGGTATGATTTAGTATGATAGTAATAAGATAGTATGAAGTCTTACCATAGTTGTATGATGTTGATATCATAGTGATAAGATAGTATGAAGTCTTATATTTGAGAAAAAAATTGATATCATCAAATTACTATCATGTCATAATATAATACCACATTATCGGAGAGGGGGTGCAAAATTATGAGTTTGTCCCTCCTTATTTTTTATTAATTGTGGGATATTAGATCAAATTTTATTGGATGGCTACACATTAATAGGGATTGACAACGGGACGAGCTAGGGACGGATTGCATATCCGTTACCCTTATAAGCAACTAAGACACTAAGTGTATTGCAGTGCATAAATAAAAATGAAATGCATTTGAGAAAAAAATTGAAATGCCCGAAAAATTTGTAAATCAAAGCATTTAATGATATTGTGTGTCCCTTTTAAAAGGAAAAGACCGGGCGCTAGCAGGTAATTAATTAGGGGTGACAGTCGGTCGATTTCGGCTTAACCGAAAACCGAAAACCCGGTTATTGGTTAAACCGAGCCACCCCTTACAGCTGCCGACCACCGACCGTGAGGTGTGTCACGGTTAGCCGGCCAACCGACCGGTCAGTTTCGGTTTTAGGCTCGGTTAGCCGGCCAACCGGAAACTACCTTTTCTACAAAAAAAAAAAAAAACCAAAAATCCTGCACCACTCAAACCTTATCTCCTCCTCTCTCCTTCCTTCCACCACCAGATCACTTCTCCTCTCTCTCCTTCCTTCCTCCACCATTTCACACCCACTAAACCCCTCTTCCAAATCCTCCATGAACCCTCTGATCAAGACAGCCGTCGTCCCTCGCTCAATCTCACATCCCCACCGCTGCTCCGCTTGCTTCTCCGATTCCGACAACGACAGAACACTGTGCATCCTCCCAAACGCGAGATCCATCGTCGATTTCAAGATGTCGATCTCGGATCCCATCTGATCGGTCCTCAAGCAATCGACGCTCTTGTTCCTCCTCTTCTCCACCATCTTGTACTCAGGGCCGAGCTTCTGTTTGATGTTCATCACCTGCTGATCCACCGAATGCTGAAGCTCCTAGAACTCTTCCTCCGAATTCCCCTCGGCACTACTCTTCAGCTTCTCCAGCCTGAAATCCACGCCCAGAGAATCGAGCCGCTTCAACTCGGGCGAGGTGCAGGGACGACGACGCGGCGGCAGATGCGAGGTGGACGGCGACAGTGATGCGGTGGCGGCGGCGAGGTGGACGGCAACAGTGGTGCGGCGGCGGCGAGGTGGACAGAGGTGCGGCGGCGGCGAGGTGGACGAAGGGGTGAGAGTTTTGTTTTAGATCTAGGGTTTTGGGGAAGGTTAGGTGAGTGGAGGTGGAGATAAATGGACAGATTTTGGGAAGGTTAGGTGGGTCTCGGTTGGGGTCACTTAATCGGGTAACCGCGGTTAATCACCGTCGGTTACTCGGTCAACCGACTCCTTCCTTTTCACAGCCGACCACCGACCGCCAAGGTAACCGGTCGGTTTTCGGTTAGCTTGTCACCGGCCGGTTTTCGGTTGTAACCGACGGTTACCCGCTAACCGGTAACCGAAATGCCAGCCCTATAATTAATTACTGGCGGTAGCAGGTTATAATTGAAGTGCGGCACGGAGCAGTGGCGACACTATAGAATTTCCCATCTAATGGATATATTAATGTGAACGAGGATAAACCTTGTAAACGAAAGTGCACCACGATAGTATGAATACACTATAATATATCATATATATTTTGGTTCAATTTTTTATAAATTTATTGAATATTATGACGAACTCATTTCTTCTGAACAAGTTTGGAATGAAAGGTTACTACTTACTAGATACTTCATTATCTGAACTTCTCCTTTCTAAACTTCTATTCTTTATCTTTGTAAAAAATAATACAAAAAGATTTTGTGCTTAAAATCTGCCAGATACTTTGCATAGAAGCAATTATATATCTTCTATTTCACATAACAGAGGAAATTCTTAGGTATAGGTAGACACTCATTATAATTATGCATATATGCATGTATGGTCGTAAAATTAAAAATCAGGAAGACTTGACTTAAAAAAAAATCAGGAAGAGCTCCACGACTCCACGTCTTAGCGTAGAGATGGCCAAAATTCCAACCCCATCTCAATTATTGGAAAACGGAAATCAACACCCGCTCACATAAGACAATAATATAACTATTAATCAACCACCCCCTATGCCTCGATTAATACTTAATCATCACGTTTGATTAATTAGTTAATCCTCCTGCAGTTCCTTCTGACCTCTCCATTTCTCCCAGTCAGCGGGCTCAAGTTCCCCAGCCTGACCATGGCGGCGGCGAAGTCCCTGAGGAAAGAAGCGCCGTTGTTGCTGTACCCCGTGACGGCGGCGTCCTGGGACCCACCGTTGAACAGCTCCTGGTCGGAGTGGAAGAGCCCGCGCCTGGCCACCAGGTCCCTGTAGTAACTGTTGTCGAACCGGGCCGGGGTGCTGTCGATCGGGGCGAGGTTGCCGTCCCCGCCGGTGGAAGGGCAGTTCCGCCTCCTGGTGGTGGCGAAGGCGGCGTTGATGTTGGTGTCGTTGTAGATGCGCTGGCGGAATGTCGTGCACCGCGCTTGGCCGATGGTGTGGGCCCCCGAGAGTACAGTCATGTCGCGTGCGCTGAGCCCTTTGTTGGAGAACATGTTGACAAGCGTCGCCAGGCTGGAGCTGGGCCCGGGGATCTGGCTGTTGGCAGCGCTCTGGCTCGCCGTTCGGGCGTCGCGGCGGCCCAGTGGGACCGTCCATGTTTGCCCGCCCAGCTGTTTGTCGCGCAATTAAGGAAAAAGAAAAAAGAGATTAATTACACATCTTATACCACTTTTTTTTTATTATATAGGTAAACGGATTTGAGTTTTATGCAGGCTTAGATGTTTAGGTACCAGGACGACTCCATCTCTGGCAGCTAGTGCCAGGATGTCGGCGCAAGAAACGGTGGCGTTGCAAGCGGCGTCAACCCGCGTCTTGATGGTGTCGATGACCTGGAATCCTCGGGCGGAGTTACGGTTTGGTCCGGCATTCTTCTCGCCGGTGAGAGTAGCGGTGTCGTCGAGCAGTATCGAGGCGTCGCATCCCTGCGGTCAACATATTAATATTATTAGTAGACAGACCAGGTAGCAGTAAATAGTAAATACGTGGTGAAAGACCAACGTACGTACGTTGACAAAGCAGTCATGGAAGAAGAGGCGGAGGATGGAGGCGGCCATGCGAGCTTCGTTGTTGACAGCTTGGGTCATAGCGTTGCGGACGATGGTGAGGAGGTTTGGGCACGAAGTTGAGTAAAAGTTGGCGGAGAGTTGTGCGGTGGCGGGAGATGGTAACAGCGATACTGCCAAGAGGGTGACGACCAAGAATTTAGCTAGAGAGGCCATTGGGGTTGTGGGGAAAACAACGAGCGAGCAAAGAAAAGGTGCTTAGTTGCACAGGATGTTGCGTTTTTGTTGTTGTTGTTGTTGTTGTGATAACGGAGGAGGTGAACTGGGCTATTTATAGATTCATTGGGCTGGCCTTTCTGCATGGAAAGTCGAACCAGTGAGCATGAAATATTCAATGGTGATAGTATATACTAGTGTACTGTGTACCCCACTTTGCTGGGCAAGCAGAGAGAGACAAGACTTTTGTGTTTTTCCTGCACATTACGTACTTTTCAGCTGGTACCTAATCATCTGTTCATCTTCTGACTTCAAATTGTATAATGTTAACGGCTTACCTTTTTCATGAAATTTTGGCAAATAAGAAAGCGACAGGCCTCGCAATTCTATCATATCAACAGGATAAATTAGCACCGAATTGCAAAGAGAACAGTTAATAACAACATGCATTTGTAAAACGTATAAAATCAATAATAAAATCTCAACCAATTGATGTTACGGGACAATCCAAGTACCACATCGGTAATACAAGGGAAGGAACCCTTGTATATTAGTGTCCAGCAAGCTCATTAGTACGAGGCCTTTTGGGGAGGACACCCAAGAGTAAAACCGTGCGGGCTTGACCCAAAGCGGACAATATCGTATTAATGGGCAGTCCCGTTATGACAGTTGTTGTGAGTTGGGACTAACGAATTCTTGACATAGTATCAGAAACTTTTTATGATTAGAGAGATGTTTTTGTTCAAATGCATTTGACTTTATTTGCTATCCAATTGTTAAGCACATGATATTCGGTTGCCTGTGCAAACATCAATTCCTTATGAGTTGGCTTTTGTTGAAGGAGTGTGTTTAATCAAATGATATATGATTCGTAATTGAACATCTCCCAGCAATTTAAATTATTCATGCTAACTAGTTCTTAATTACAGATAGACATTGGGTGAAAATATGATTTAGGATAATACCCACACGGTTACAGGTCGGGCAAGTCGATCTATTTTTATATATAATTGAATAAATTTTTTGTTTGTAACGATAAAAATGAAGGGGAAAATGTTTGGTATGGAGGTCAAATGTATCAACTATATAAAATACAATTCTCAATCATTAAAACATGGAAATAGAGTTACATTTTATTTTTCACTAATTGTGATATTTATTGGATTTCATTTTCGATAAGCGAATTTTTTTTCCATTTTCCAAGTTGATTTCTCACTTAAAACACAATTTTCACTAGGGGTGGCTATAAGGTTCGGTCGGTTAAATTGGCCTGGATTGATCCGGTCCTGGTCCGGTCTTTTCGAGAATATGAGGACAGAAGATTGGATTGAATACAGTCCCGTTTTGACCCAGTCCGGTCTTGACCCGGTCCGGTCCCAATCCGGTCTTGATTTTAGACTGAGCTTGTGGGGTTTGACTTTTGAGTGAGCTGAGTCCTAAAGGATGAGGAGTTGGTTAGGTTCTGGGTGTTGGGCTCTCTTATCCGGTCTTTATTCGGTTTTCGGTCCGATGCCAGACGATTTTTAACTCAAATCTAAGCCCGAAAACGAGATTAGATTGTTTGCTATCCGATCCCCGTCCGGTTCCGGTCCGATCCTAGACGGTTTTTAACTCAAATCTTAGCCCGAAAACGAGATTGGATTGTTTGCTATTCGGTCCCGGACCAGTCTCAGTCTAGGTTATACGGTCCGGTTTCGGGTAAAACAAAAAACCCAGACCAAATAGCCACCCCTGATTTTCGCATCGTAACTCCATAAAACCAAATCAACATAACATGCAAAACAAATTACTAAAATGAACGGGTCAAATAGTCACAGTAAAGTGTGACAGGTAATCTAGTTATTTGTATAAGATCCATTCTAGAGATTATTCCAATAACTGTTCAACTTATATTTGGATGCAATATGGTTCTTTCAGAATGATCCAACAATTATTGAAAAAGTGATTTTCTTTTCCTAACCATTTAAGTGATTTTCTTAATTTTCCTAACCTTTTTGTCAGAAAAAACCGAGAGCTATATGAGGAGAAGATATAATAATAAAAAAATGTGAAGGTCGATGGTGTTGTGGGAATGGGAACGTTATCAGTTTCAAACATGGCTGCATGAGACGCGTTAGTGAAGCCATGAGGTCGAAGGGCCAAATTTTATATTCTTCCAGTTCCAGAGTAGAGGGTTTGCTGAGCAGATGGATTGCGTTTTTTATGTACGTGGTTGACTTGCCAGCGGAAACAAAGTCTTACTCTTCTAATCAACAATGCACATGCGATGCACTGCAAAGTGCAAACCCAGTGATCGAGAAATCACAAGATAGGATTCTATTTGCACTGACAGCAGATGCTCTGCTAGCTACACAATCTCCGCGTTCCCCATCTAGAAAAAAAAAAAAAAAAGAAGGTTTGCCTGTGCACCGCTCTACGTACTAAGTACTAACTTGATCTGCCAAGTGCCAACTATTATATGATCACGGCTTTGACGCTGACATATGAAGTCTTGTCTGATTCTTATTATTATTTTATTATTATAAAAGAGGGGTTGTTATCATGCACAATTAGTTAGAGATAAATCAATTAGATATTTTATTAATTAATTTTTTTCAAATTTTATCAATTAACCAAATTTTAATTGCGTAAATTTTTTAGTAGAATTCCCCCTAATCTATATTCAACCTAATTCAATAAGAACAACGCATAGTGAGTTCGTTCTTGACGAATTTTAGGTTGGATCAAGTTTTATCCGCTTTTGTAATTCACGGGTTGGGTTGGGTGTGGGTTTTTGTCAAAAGTTAGATCGATTTCCATCTTACTCACCTAAACATCAAAACTGGTAAAATTTAGTGTTGACGAGTTTTGGTTCGAGAGCGACTTTTACTCACTTTTGTAATTGACGAGTTGGATTGAGTGTGGATCTTTGTTAAAAAAATCTATTCGCTTTGCATCTGACTCGCACCTAAAAAAATGAACCTGGTTGAATTCGGTGTTGATGATTTTTGGTTCGGGGGCGATTTTGACCTGCTATGTAATTGACATGTTGGACCGAGTGTGGATTTTTTTTTAGAAATGCGGTTCGAGTTCCATCCGACCCATACCTTACAAACAAAAGAATTGACCTTATCAAATCGGGTTGAACCTAATATCGATGAGTTTGCGATCAGGATCGAGTTTTATCCGCTTTTGTGACTGACGGGTTGGGTATGGATTTGTTAAAACTCACACGAAAAACAAAACTATATATGCCATCTTATGAACGCATGTCCAACCTAATTTGACACGGTAAGAGTAGGTTGAACCTATTGACAAGTTTTTGGTCGGGAGCGAGTTTTATCGCTTTTTTAATTGACGGGTTGGATTAGGTGTAAATTTATTTTAAACTCGGTTCACTTTTCAACTGACTCCAAAAAAAATGTCACATTCACCGTATAACTTACTCTCTGTACCATTGATAACACATTTCTATAGTGAGATGGTATATAGCTAGTGTTTAAAATGATTACGTAATAAATTCATAATATCACTTACAACCTTAATTATCTATTTACGAAGCCAAGTTACTAAATTCACGAACTGCCCAGCGCGGCAGACTTTCGTGCTAGTATTCCCAGTTTCCCGGTGGTAGAAATTAAATGTTTGAACCTAACTGAGTGTAGGAGTGAGGTTCGAGTAAGAGTTTGGGTCAAGAAGAAACACGAGCGTCGGGTTTGATCGGAGGGAGAAGGAAGGGAGAGTCAAGTGAGAGTGAGCTTCCGAATTTTTAGAGAGAGAAGTAGTTGTTATAGAGCGAGAATGGCTAAAAAATGCGATCCCCTCACCCACCGTAGTAAATGCCATATTTATAGGCTTCATGGTGGTGGGTGAGTGGTTGACATAAGAGGGGATACAATGATGTGACTACTGGGATACAATGATGTGACCCATGATGTGACCACTAGCATACTAAGGACTTCTAGGCCATCTCTCTACCTAGGATGAGTCAGAGATCCACTCATGACCCTGATGTGACTACTCGCTAAGGAGGGGTGCGCTTCTCTCCTCTCCTGATTTGGCCTACGCTTGTCCTCTCCTAGCGCATGTAGTTGCGCTTAAGCTCTTCGCGCCAAGACGTGGTTAGCCACAATGAGGCGGCACACTCGGGGTCCTCGCGCCGCCGTGTCGGGGTCTATTTAGCTGCGCCCGATTCCTTGGCGTGATCAGGCCCGAGTCCTATCCCCAACAATTGCCCCCCATCAGGGGGTGTTTTGTGAACGCCCCCTGTTTAGGTTTCTTCCTGACAGACTCGGGCCGGTGCGCTCTTCGAGGGGCGGGTCTTTTGGGCCTATTCCGCTTGTAGACGTGCGCGATACTGTGGACCGGTGTCACCTTGCACTGATGTCATGCGCCGTCGCGCTCGTTGTTGGGCTTCGTTTGTTCGTTGCGCGCGATACTTGGCGCGCGCTGATGCGCGTACGGGGTCGTTTTCTTCGCGCACGTTACACTGGCAGCTCGCGCTTGCGCGCTCGTTGTTGAGCTTTGTTCGCTGAGCGTGATACTCGCGCGTGATACTCGTTGTTTTCCTTTCGCAGCGCAATGCGTGTTTTTCTTTTCCTCGCGGGTATGTCATGCCCCCCAGGCGGTGCGCGGCACTGGTGGCGTCGCCGACTAATGCCTATGATCGTAGGTGTCCACGTGTCACTATGTGGTTAGGCTACTTGGGCGGGGATTTTTTGAATTTCGAAAAGATTTGGTGGGATCTGACGGTTACGGATCCCAATGTGACTTTAACCTTTCGCCTTCCGCTGGCCGACTTTGGCCCTTCGCTTTCCCCTTGATCGACTATAAGTATGAGATTGTTGCAGAGAGGAGGGCTCACCTGTTTTCCCCGATTATAGCCTCACTTTCTTTTCCCTGAGACTTCCCTCCTCCTTCACTTTTCCTTCTCTGAGATTTCTCTTCTCCTTCTACAACCTTATTCCTCTTTTGCTGTTGTTCAATTTCGAGTCGATATCATGTCTAACATCAACAATCAG